TTTTGTATTAGCAATGTAAATTCTCTAGGATTTTTACAGTTCTATGAACTAAAACGTATTCCTCTTAGCAGTATTATTGGCTCTCTGCTTATAAATAAATCATAGAGATGATCTTGATTAAACATTCAAATGAATTTGAAATTAGATAAGATACCAAAGATAATACTATATTCCTCGAGACGATTAAATTTATTATTTATAACTCTCCTCCTAGAGTGGGATGTTTTTCGATGATTATCTTACTACCTGTAATCATAAAAATTATGGAGTTTCACATTACAGCTGATAGTTTCTGATTAAATGAAATAATTTTTACATAACATACTACGGTCTCCATGCCTTTCACCCAACTGTTGTTTAGTTAAAAATTAATTTCGAACGCGAATGAAATAAGGAGAAATTTTTTTCCACTAATGTATTACATAATTTTAGTTGTTCGAATATCTTACAACCCCATTGACTAGAGGTTGGTAATAATAATAAAATCTGCAGTAACGAAAGGAGATATTTTAGAATTTTCGTGTCACTTTATTATTATTATCGATAATACGTACGGATAGTATTGTAATCGGGTTGAAATTCCCATATGCAGTTTTCAAAGAATCTGTGCATTTCAGGGATCCCTGACTCTAAACAACTCACTTGCAGTCGTATCTGTCTAGGATCACAGATCACACCTCTAAACTTTTTTGACCCGTGGGCCACATTTAGACCTCGACTAAATTCCGCGGGCCATATTGAGACTTCCCAACCAAGCCATGGCTTGTGACAAAAAAAAAAAGTCTTGGCGTTGTGAAATGACGTTTCTAAGAGAAAAAAAGCAATGCAATAAATGTTTTAGTAAACCCACGTGTAAGAAATTTGCTAAATTTCGAATTTTTCAATAGTTTTTAAAATGTTACCATGTAATTAAAGAACCTTTTGCGGACCAGATCGATGGGCTCGCAAAATTCGGATTCGGTCCGCGGACAATAATTTGGAGACTCCTAGGCCGTAGCGCAGCCAGGCGTGCCCATTCTCCCTCCCCACCCCAAGGCCGATGGCGCATAAGTGCATTTAAAACATTTAAAAACAAAAAGTGCAAGCGAGAGTAGAATTGGAATATTCTTGGATTATAAATCATTATACATTCTGTGGTATGTTCCATGATTCGAAACTTTTCGTTTTGAAATTTCATAACGCCGTGGAAATTTGTCCCCTCAAAAATTGAAAATTCCGTCAAAAAGTGCCCACCTCATTAATTTTGATGTCGCAACTTGCGCCATAAAATCCCCCTTCTGGGCGCAGCCTTCGGAGAGGACGAGGGAACCTTTCACCCCTCTCCACCAATAAAAATATTGAGGGGGAGAGAATATCGCATCGCACCCCCAATGGTTTGAAGGAAAAAAAAAAAAATTGATAATAGATAAAGTACATTAATGAATATAATATGTAAACAAAATCGGTTAAGAAAATAAGAAAAGTCGACTAGCTGGCGAGCCTAAAGGAACTATTTCGCTGGCGCGGTCCACGACAGCGACCGCTATTCCACGCTGCCAACCGCTGTTGGCGTAGCTATTTCGCTGAAACTACTCACTGGGGTTTTTATAACCTGCCTATAACCTTCGAACATTTCGCTGTATCTTCGTAGATAAAAAGATGTACATCCTATAATAATAAAAATGAACATCCTATAATCCTATAATAATGAACATCTCTGACTACCGTTTTTTTATTTGAGGAGGAAAAAGAAGAGAAAATGTTCTTCATAAAGAGAGAGGATATCAGTATTTCGATGAGATGCTCATCATCAAATCCCTTCTTGGACATTGTTTGCTATTGTCTAGATAAACAACCAAAAAGAACAAAAATGCAGGAAACGCCTAACTAACAAGAATAGTCCCTCTGATATTAGATATTATTAGTTTGAAAAGTAATAGTAATTAATACATAATTGATTAGTAACAAATATCATATATATATATATATATGTAATTAAATCCCAGCAGGCGATGTTTTATAGTTTTATCAATAGTAATCAGTAAATCACCACTTTAATTAAAAAATACAATATAATAATAAGTACACGATTTTGTGGATAAAATAATTATCAATTTCAAAACCTGGTTTGTACATTGATATTTTTGTCGAGAGGTTTTAATTGAAAATATTCTCGATATTGGACTAAAATGTTAAGAAAAATAAACCACAAATGGTTTTGAAGTTTATTGTTTTATCTTTTTATTTATTTATTTATATAAATTCTTCTGTAATTTCCTATTTTTTTATATTTCTTAGTTTTAGTTGTATAATGTAATTATTCAATGAAAGTTTGCTTTACCAATATGTCATCTTTGAATGAATTATAATGCAAAGAAAAAAGGAATTAGTAAATTATTTAACGTAAGATTAAAGCTATTAAGAAATCGTTTCATTGTTTTAGCAGATTTACAGAAGTGCAAAAATATTTCAAACTACTTTTACTGATCTAAAAATGCAGTCCAGTTGACTTTTAGCTGGAGGATGGGAGAAGAACAGGAAGAGTCCTTGCGGTGATCTATTCCTCCATAAAGCCCAGTCCCGGCAATAAATTAGTCACTGGCAGGTTTAATTAGCAATCAGATATAATTGCCAAGAGGATGAATAGTTCCAGGGCTGCACATTCCAAGATGTAATTCCTATACAAGAAAAAGTCACAAGAAACGGGAATCATTATTTTTTTCTAGCTGAAGTTTAATGGTTTAATATAAAGTATGATTCCAGTACTTGATTGGTTGAAATATGAAAGTTATTGTCTATGTTCATGGATGAATGTATCAAAGAGCAAGCATACGAGGAAGGTTTTAGATACGAGGATTTGTCACAGAGCGCGCGGCAACTCTTTATTTGAAAAGTAAGCATGCATTGTACTATGGCAGAAAAATTGTCAATTCTAGTTGCTTATGCTCTCCCCCGAATGTTGATAACTCCAACAATGACAAAGTTTTCCCTTTTTCATAATCATTATAATCACCTCATGAATTAATTTAATACAATAAAGAATATAAGAAGTATGAAAAGGAAGAGTACCCTACACCGTCAGGATCTTGAGACAGTGTTGGGCATTTACTCGAGTAAATGTCCAGCGGTGACGTCACTAGTGATCACTCTTAGAAGCTTCCCCATGAGTAATTTTGAAAATTACTCATGAAACAGTTTTACTTCATGAGTAAATCACTCGTGAAAAATGTTTTCTCTATGACTAAATCACTCATGAAAAATTTTAATGCCATGATTTTATGAAAATGCTGTCGATTATGAGATTGGGCTCCAAAGGTCTCGACTTTTTGTAACTTATTGGATTAAAACGATATCAGGGTCGAATATTACGTTTTGGGAGAGCCCCAAAAGACTCAATCTTAAATCCGACATCATTTTCATAAAAAGCGTCCCCCAAAACATAATAGTCAACCTCGATATCGATTTAATCCGAAAAGTTACAAAATGTCGAGGTCCGGGGGACCCAATCTCAACATCGACAGCATTTTCATAAAAAAGCGGCCCCAAAAACATAATAGATGATCTTGATATCGATTTAATCCGAAAAATTACAAAAAGTCAAGGCCCGGAGGACCCAATCTCAAATTCGATATCATTTTCTTAAAAAGCGCCCCCAAAACATAAGAGTCGACCCTGATATCGATTTAATCTCAAAAGTTAAAAAAGTCGAGGCCCGGAGGGTTCGATCTCAAATTCGATATCATTTTCTTAAAAAACGCCCCCCAAAACATAAGAGTCCACCCTGATATCGATTTAATCTCAAAAGTTAAAAAAGTCGAGGCCCGGAGGGTCCGATCTCAAATTCGATATCATTTTCTTAAAAAACGCCCCCCAAAACATAAGAGTTGACCCTGATATCGATTTAATCTGAAAAGTTAAAAAAAGTCGAGGCCCGGAAGGTCCGATCTCAAATTCGATATCATTTTCTTAAAAAGCGTCCCCAAAACATGAGAATCGACCCTGATATCGAATAAATCCGAAAGGTGACAAAAAAAAATTAGATTATATAAAACAAAAACATTTTTTTTTTTCAAAATTACTCATGGCGTTAAAATGCTTCATGAGTGATTTACTCATGGAGATAACATTTTTCTCGAGTGATTTACTCATGGAGGAAAAATGTTTCATGACTAAGCTTCTAAGAGTGATCACTCGTGACGTCACCGCTGGACATTTACTCGAGCAAATGCCCAACACTGTCTTGAGAATGTGTACATCATATGCACTTGGGCATCAAAATACGGCACGCGGGCAAATGAAAAAATAAAACTATACATCTGAAGAAGGGACCCTTAAAGAAGTTGGACGACTGCGCATATAAATTGGCAAATCTCTTCTATCGTTCTGTCAGAATCAGAATGATTTGTTTTCTTAATATTTGTGGAATCGGAAATACTGGTCCCAATTCGTCAGTTATATCCATAACACAGCCGTCTTCATTAAGAATTTCAATTTAATACGGTAAAATCTAGTTTCTGTCAAAACTTTTTTTTTAATGTCAATAAACTTAGCTCCAGCTTAACTTTTTATATGATTTTACAACGGTGTAAGTTCTTTTCGGCCTAAACGACGTAAGGAATCGTTATGCATTTTCAATCTCTAATAAGCTGGCTTGAAAAAGTATTTACATACTAGCTGATCCATGCTAACAAACCATAACAGATTTTCACATATTAGGGGTCTAGCACAACACATATTCAGTAATAATTGTATGCATAAATATTTAATTTTTCTAAAGATGTCTTTGAATATAAGATAACACCATAATAACTTTAACCGAATTCTCATGAAGGAATAGCTTTGTACAGTAGTCTATATGTTATTTATAACACAGTAGAGACATTTAAATATCAAGTGAATATTTAAAATGATAATCTATTTAGTGGAAAAAAAGAAGAATCAGGTTGATTTAAACACGAATAAGAAACGTCACCGAATCAAGAGACCTCCTCATTTCATCGTAGCGAGGCAGAGAATACTAGATGGTGACCAGGAGCTTCCCGACATGGAAGGTAATGAAGAGGCAATAAAGTACCTCAAAACAACAAATAGACGGAATAAATAGTTATAGATGGAATACCAACTCAGAATTGTTCAAGAATGTTCGGGAAGAGATTATAATTTTTGTTGACTACCTGAACAAATTTTGGAATATTAGTGTTTAGGAAAAAAAAAAAAAACATTTTCAAATAACTTGAAAAAAAAATTGCACCATCGGATTCATTGAATGCTAGAAATTGATACTTATCACAATTTCGAAAAAGCTCGATAATGGTTCACGTAAAGTATTTATAATTATTCATTTCAATTGATGTAATCATAATGGAGGCATTCAATTACAATTGTAGGTTCAATTGAGTAAACGCAATTAGTGTAAAGCAAAGTGAAATATTATTAATATTTCTTTTTTCCATTTATACAAAGTCAATATTTGATTCATAGGCTAGTTGATAGAGGTGCTGATTGGCGATAAACATCGGACTTATATTAAGGTACAGGGCATTTGAATTGAATTTTCTTAGGATTAATAAATGTTCATTATCATTTTACCTTAAATTACTTCTTGATGCAAAGTAATTGAAATTACAATTCTCCGTAATTTAAATATCATATGAGCAGCTCAATATCAAAGACGGGCATGTTCAGAAAGCAAGTAAATTATACGGAAAAAGTAAATTTTTTTTAATAGATTCAACTCAAAATATTTCTGCTGATTTTATTTAAGAATGTTCAAGTAGAACCATGGAAAAAAATCATTGGAATTGACGGAAAATTGACTTTTTCTCATCTATTTAAAATTAAAGTTGTCCGTTTTTGATATTAAGCTGCTCATATGATATTTAAATTACGGAGAATTGTAATTGAAATTATTGATGAGGTTTCTTATTCGTGTTTATATCAACCTGATTCTTCAAGCCGGCTTATTAGAGATTGAAAATGCATAAGGATTCCTTACGTCATTTAGGCCGAAAATAACTTACACCGTTGTAAAATCATATAAAAAATTAAGCTGGAGCTAAATTTATTGACATTAAAAAAAAAGTGTTGACAGAAACTGGATTTTACCGTATCAAGTTGAAATTCTTAACGAAGACGGCTGTGTTATGGATATAACTGACGAATTGGGGCCAGTATTTCCGATTCCACAAATATTAAGAAAACAAATCATTCTGACATAATGATAGAAGAGATTTGCCAATTTATATGCGCCGAGGTCCAACTTCTTTAAGGGCCCCCACATCAGATGAATCGTTTTATTTTTTAATTTGCCCGCATGCCATATTTTGATGCCCAGGTGCATATGATGTACACATTCTCAAGATCCTGACGGTGTAGGGTACCCTTCCTTTTCATACTTCTTATGCTCTTTATTGTACTAAATTAATTCATGAGCTTATTATAATGATTATGAAAAAGGGAAATCTTTGCCATTGCTGGAGTTATCAAACATTCGGGGGAGAACATAAGCAACTAGAATTAACTATTGTGCCATAATACAATGCATGCTTATTTTTCCAATAAATTAATTTATTAAACTTTTGAAAGGAATTTAATTTATAATAACTAAATAAATTAATTTTTAGAAAAGTCAAGTTCTGGCATATATATAAGAAAAACGCACGAGAACATTACATATAAATGTATTATATACCTGCCATCTTTTCTGATGGGTTTGTCATCATCTGATAGCGATCTGTAAAAGTGAACTGCTTGGAACTTGTCAGGTCCACATTCTATCTAGAGAAATGAACTAGGTAAGAAAGGGCCGTCTGTCAAAATAAATAAGGCACGTAACCATCTCGATTGAAAAGATGAAAGTAAAAAAAATAACGGAATTAGCAATTATTTTAGGGTGGGTGGGGAGTTTTTTCTGTGAGCAGTCTTATATATACTTACGCCCTTCAGCTCGAGGCATCAGTCAGCTCAGTAACACACTGGGGGTTAACATCAATTTCAAATATGAATTCCATTTTTATTGTAAGTTTATAAACATTGTTTAGTTAAGTTGAGCAAATAATAACAACAATAATTTCAGGCAAATGATTTAAAAAAAGATATAAGATTTTTTATTGATATAGCTATTCCTAGTTGTGTAAATTTTATTTTTACACATGTATATACTTATTATCGTAAATATTTCATCGGTTTATTAAAAAATATCATTAAGAACTTTGATGAGTGTTTTCTTTTGTTTGTGTATCCAGAATATTGTGTGCTTATTGTAACTATATTTGATATATAAATGGATGTTCGCCAGTGCTTTTGTTTAGTTTTTTAGTGCTTTTCTAGGTTTTTATCGATAAATAAAGTCAAAATTCATAAAAACGTTCTTAAAAGATCAGCTTTATTAAAAATGTGCTTAGTAGTAGCTTTTTTTTTATTTATTATAAAAAATACTAATATAAATGAAAGTCGTATATTCACAGCATTATTTTTATTTATTTGTCTAGATCGCTCTGTTTGTTGCATTCTCTTCTGCCGCAGAGAAGAAAATCAACGAGAAAAGAGGACTTGCAGGTCTGGGATATGGAAGTTATTATCCTGCCTCTGAACCATGGTATCCGATTTCGCAGGAATTGGCTCTCACTAAGGTAAGTAGTCATAACAAATATTACAGGTTATAATATTGCCATATAAATCCTTATCCGATCTAACTACTAAAAGGAAATATAGGAACGTTTCATTGATGATTAATATCCTTTTTTTGTTCGTACTTGATAAGTGGTCATCAGTAGAAATAGGCGATCTGCTCAAGAGGTGAATGAAGTGAGATAAATGACGTCTCAAGTTGAGTGAACAATTAATCCCAAAATATAAAAATATAGTTGTAATCTATAACGAGACTAATGCCGTTTGCATATCTCACTCCTGTACTGATTGGGATTCAGAGTATTTTTTACATAAATCAGAAAGTTAAAAACTGATTCTGTACTCTTTTTAAATACTCCAGTCTATGGAAGAGCCTCTGCTGTTGAATTGTGATTAATAATTAGATATCGTGTATTCTATCTATTGGCCAAATACTATTGATAAATCTAGCCCGGTGGAGCTACTCACAATGCATATGCCCCTTGGAAAACATTGACATTTCCCATACATGTAATGATTATATGAGTGAACTAATTTCCGTTATATATCATAATAATTCCTTGTGACGTAAGTGATAGTGAAACATTTCAAGACTAAAATTCAATTAGCTAGAAAATAAAAAAGGTATTTATAAAAAAATAACGAAATTTCATAGAGTTCTGCCCACACGATTGCCTTGCAAAGCGCCTCTGCAGCCCACGCAGCCGAAGTAGCGAACGCCCTGGCAGCAGCCAAAGAAGCCTCAGCAGCAGCCTCCCTGGCCCAGCAGCGAGTGCAGCACGCCAAGGAGGCGGTCCTGGTCCAGCAGAGGATTGCGGCGGCCAAGGAGGCGGCAGCTGCGGCGGCCATCCAGCGCAGCGAGGCAGCCGCCGCCACCGCTGCCGCTATACAACGCAGCGAGGCCGCAGCAGCCGCCCTCCACCGCCAGGAAGCAGCCGCGGCAGCAGCAGCAGCTCTCCAACGCAGTGAAGCTGCTGCTCAGGCTGCAGCCGCCATACAGGTTAGCACATAGTTATCTGTTTTTAAATTTATTTTTCACTTATAGTAGATTCATAAAAAATATAGCTAATGTTAGCGCAAAAGGTCGTATGTGAAAATTCAGTTTTTTTACAATATACCATAAAAACTGATTATTTCTTTATGATTTATGAGTATAATATCATATTTTATTTCTCTACATTTTTTTTTTTTGTTTAAAGTTAATTGTGTATCTTAGTGCAAATATAAATACAATAACTGAATAGCATATAAATAAATAACATTTAGCTCCATATTTTTTATAAAAAAATACCAATATTTCTTTTGACAGAGGAGCCAAATCGCATCTCATCAGATACAGAAGACCGCGGCCAAAGCTGCCGCCGCCAACGCAGTTCTGCACCAAGTAGCTGCTTCCGGTCTTCCTTACCCAAAGGCTCTTGAATACCCATGGGGCTAATTTGTTTTCTGTTACTGCTCTTAATAATTTGTTGTTTTTGTTGCAATTTAATGTTTTAATAAACTGATGTTAATTTTTATTTTAATTTTTGTTTTGGCAAATTCATTCCCCTATTTTCTGAATTTTTTTTTTTCATTTAAATTAGTTAAAACTGGAAATTTCATTTTTCTACATATTAAAAGAAATGGAATTTCATGAATATATTAATCTATTGATGTTATCATAACTACTTAAGGAAAGTGGTGTTGCTAGTTTTAACTACGATCCTACCATATGATTTGCTGATACTTATATTTTATTTATATTTGTATATTTATATATAAGTATATAGGTACTTATATAATGATACATACTTATATATTATATATATTTTCTTTATATTTTTTTAGAAATAAATAAAAATGAATTATTACTGAATTTATTGATAAACACTTCAGTAATAAATAAAGGTCACTTTTTTGCATAATTTTATATACAAAATTCTAATTCTAATGCTAATAAACAAATACTTTTCCTCAAAGTTGGTTTGTCAATAAATAAAAGTAACAAATTATTAATACATAACATAAAATTGGACATACAAAAATTAAATTTGCGATCTGCAAATTTCTTTGCAATGAGCAATTTTTTTGGCAGCTTCACAGCGTTCCATTACAATCCAGGAAATAGTTCAGTTCAGCAGGTCTCTTGGCCACCGCCTACGTAATCGTTGATGTGAGCTGTACGGGTTTCTAGTGCTTTTAAGGTTTTCTGTCAGAGGATTTGTGTTGTAAGTTAGTCTTTAGTGGAAGTTGTTGTAGTTTATTTTGGCAGTGTCTGAAATTGTTAGGATTTTTAAGTCCGTATGTAATCTATCGTTTGTGACATAAAATGGTGCGTCAACTATTCTTCGTAAAATTTTGGATTGGAAAGACTGGATTTTTATAATATTAGAAATTTTAGCAGAACCCCAAAGTTCTATGCTATAAGCCCAAATTGGTTTAATAAAACTTTATAGAGGGTTAGTTTGTTAGTCAAAGATAATTTTGAACGTCTGTCAAGTAACCTAGATAAAAGACCGTATCATCTGTTTAATTCCATACGTTTTTGTCTAATGGGTGTCCTCCAAGTTAGTCTTTTGTCGAGATAAAAACCCAAATATTTAATTACCTCGGATGCAAGAATTTCAATGTCATTAAAATATATTTCAGGGGAAGGGGTATGATTAAGAGTGAATACTACTTACACACTTTTTTTTTAATTCATTTTAATTTTTCACCTTTTGGCTCAATCAGAAATATCGTTCAAATGGTTTTGAAGAGTGGTGGATGCTCGAATAGGATTTTTATCTGAACTGAGGATTGCAGTATCGTCAGCAAAAGTAGCCAGTAGGGTGCCACTGTGTTGTGGTAGGTCAGACATATATATATTAAACAATATTGGTCCCAGGACACTAGCCTGCGGTACTCCTGCTTTTACAGATTTAATGTCTGAATGTTCTGTCCCTACTTTTACTACGAAATGTCTGTCTGATAAACATGAGAGTAGTATTAAATAATAGGTGGGAGGAAGTAAAATTTTAAGTTTGGAAAGCAATCCTTCATGCCAAACTTTATCGAAAGCTTGACTGATGTCAAGAAAAACTCCAGGACAATAATTTTTAGATTCTAAAGAATTAGAAATATAATCTACTAACCGATGGCATTGTTGAACAGTAGAATGATGCTTTCTGAAACCGAATTGATGATTTGGAATAAATTTAAAGATATCAAGACTTTCCCTCACCGCTCTACTTTGAATAGAAATTATTTTCTGGCAATGTTGAGCTTTTGCAAAGTTTTTGAAGTGCATTTTTAACAAAGCTAAGCCTTAAAACTAACAGCTAACCTGTAACAACTCATTCAGGCTATTACAGTAGCACAGACCCAATTTATTTTATCGACGGTAGCCAAGGAAAATCTCGTAGCTCCGTCTGTTTTAGTAAACCACATAGAGATGGGCAGTACTCGATTACTTTCATGATTTGAGTAATTTTATTAGGAAAAAGTATCGAGTAGTTTCTGTACTCGGCCTGACAGCGGCGAGTACTGAGAGTACTCACGCAGCGTTAATCATGATTTAGTTAAGTACAGAAAATACTCGCGCTGTTATATCGAATTACAGAAAGTACTCAGCCAAATTCCTACAAAGAGTACTTTTTATTTTTCAACTACTCCGTCATTATTATAAAGAGTATAAATGTTTTCTTTTATTTCCTTCAATAATAGCGGCCATATTCGACCTGACCAACCCTAACCCCCATTAATCGATATTAGACTAACCATCATGTTTTGGGGGGCGCTTTTTATGAAAATATACTATCGGATTTGAGATAGTGCCCCCCGGGCCTCGAATTTTCTAACTTTTGGATTAAATCGATATCGGGGTCGACTATTATGTTTTGGGGGCGCTTTTTATGAAAATTATATCGAATTTGAGATTGGGCCCCCCGGGCCCGACTTTTTATAACTTTTTTGATTAAATCGATATCGGGGTCGACTATTATGTTTTGGGGGGCGCTATTTATGAAAATTATATCGAATTTGAGATTGGGCCCCCCGGACCCCGACTTTTTTTAACTTTTTGGATTAAATCGATATCGGGTCGACTATTATGTTTTGGGGGCGCTATTTATGAAAATTATATCGAATTTGAGATTGGGCCCCCGGGCCCGACTTTTTTTAACTTTTTGGATTAAATCGATATTAGAGTCAATTATTAGGTGTTAGGGGGCGCTTTTTATGAAAATAATGTCGGATTTGAGATTGGGCCCCCGGGGCCCGACTTTTAGTAACTTTTCTGATTTAATAGATATCAGGGTCGACAATTAAGTTTAGGAAGACGCTTTTTATGAAAATACTGTCGGATTTGAGATTGCACCCAGTGGATTCACTTTTTGGATTTAGTCGATATCAGGGCCGTCTATTATGTTTTAGGGGACGCATTTTATAAAAAAAATCCGACATCATTTTCATAAAAAGTGTCCCCTAAAACCTCATAATCAACATTGATATCGATTAAATCCGAAAGGTTACAAAAAGTCGGGCCCCGGGGGCACTATCTCAAAATTTATGAAAATGATTCGTAATCCGATATCATTTTCATAAAAAGCGCGCCCTAAAACATAATAGTCGACCCTGATATCGATTTAATCCAAAAAGTTAATAAAAGTCGAGGCTCGGGGAAGGCCCAATCTCAAATTCGATATCATTTTCATAAATAGCGCCCCCAAAACATAATAGTCGACCCCGATATCGATTTAATCCAAAAAGTTAAAAAAAGTCGGAGGCCGGGGGGCCCAATCTCAAATTCGATATAATTTTCATAAATAGCGCCCCCAAAACAGAATAGTCGACCCCGATATCGATTTAATCCAAAAAGTTAAAAAAAGTCGGGCCCGGGGGCCCAATCTCAAATTCGATATAATTTTCATAAATAGCGCCCCCAAAACATAATAGTCGACCCCGATATCGATTTAATCCAAAAAGTTAAAAAAGTCGGGCCCGGGGGCCCAATCTCAAATTCGATATAATTTTCATAAATAGCGCCCCCAAAACATAATAGTCGACCCTGATATCGATTTAATCCAAAATGTTACAAAAAGTCGGGCCCCGGGGGCCCAATCTCAAATTTTATATCATTTTCATAAAAAGCGCCCCAAAACATAATAGTCGACCCTGATGTCGATATAATCCAAAACATTAAAAACAGTCGAGGCCCGGGGGGCCCAATCTCAAATTCGATATAATTTTCATAAAAAGCGCCCCCTGAAACATAATAGTCGACCCTGATATCGATTTAATCCAAAATGTTAAAAAAGTCGGGCCCGGGGGCCCAATCTCAAATTCGATATCATTTTCATAAAAAGCGCCCCCCAAAACCTAATAGTTGACCCTGATGTCGATATAATCCGAAAAGTTACAAAAAGTCGGGCCCCGGGGCACTATCTGAAATCCGACAGCATTATCATAAAAGTCAAGTGGTGTAGAAAAAAAAAATGGTCCCCAAAGTTGATTAAATCCAAAATATTTTAATAATTCTTTATTTTATCGATTTACATTAATATCGATACTATTTTAAAAAACTATACCCCATAAGATAACAATGGACTTAAATATGGAAGAAATATTAAATATTCTACTCCTGTAATTTTTATAATGAAATACTCGATTACTTTGAAAAGTACTCAGAGTAAAATATTGCTGAGTAGATTTGAAAATAGAAAGTACTCACGAGGACAGCTGATTACTTTTTGTACTCGTCAATCATGAGGTCGAGTAGTGATTGAAGTACTCGATACTCGAACCGGGCGAGTATTTGAGTAAATTACTCTGTAATTGTACTTTTTACTCAGAGTACAATTTTGCCCATCTCTAAAATCACATAACTACACATAACTACTGAGCTATATCTGCCCAGAGAAATTTGAAATTACATCTGTATCTTTAGCCTACAAATAAAATGATTTTGGATTGTACTATTATTAGTTCTTAAACTCTTATTTTTTAATTGTAAAATTCACTAAAATAGAGTTACGAGATTTCCATTGCCTATCATCGATTGGTCAAAAGATGTCACAATAATAGTAAGTGGATAATGTTAGAATTTCACAAAGGATATAATTATCAAATTATTCATTAATTTAATTTTCTAAAATCTTACCTGTTGAACTTTCGGAATAAACCGCATTAGATATAATTATTTAAATGTATTATCAGTTCTGGAGATTACTAAACTACAGTAAATGTATTAAAGGTTATAAACATATTTTCAACTTATCTATGCAGTATTTTTTACTTTCACTTACCTATATATGTTATATATATATATATATATATATATATATATATATATATATATATATATATAATATATATATATATATATATATGTTATATATATATAAAGGGAAAGTACTGTAATCGTGAAAATTTTCGAATCAGAGTTTTCAACGAAAATACACGTTTTGTGGTCCTCTGAGT